AAGGTCTCTGTCCAAGTTTGAGAGCCATAGGTTCTTTTCTGACATGTACTGGCTGGGTGAACTTGGTCAAGCTACTTAACCTGTAAAGTCTTTGATTTTTCTCTTTTAAAAGCTAATGGCACTGGATCGGAGCAGCTACCCAATCTTAAAGTCATCTGACTGATTATTTATGGAGCTTCTTTACATGCACACGACTGTGTATAATGGTAGTATTAGAATTCTCATAGGTGAGATGCAGATCATGATATGGATTAAATATTGCTAGCACGGTACCCAGCATATTTCCCATTTTTTTAAATAAAAAATTTTTTATGGAGGTAAAATTCATGTAACATAAAATTAATCATTTTAAAATGTACAGTTCAGTGGCACTTAGGACATTCCCTCCTGCTGTCTTTTTTCTGGAGACAGGGTCTACTATGTAGTTCAGGCTGGCCTTGAACTTACTGTGTAGCCCAGGGTGCCTTGAACTCCTGATCTTCCCAACTCAGCCTCTTGGGTGTGAGGATTACAGGTGTGCACCTCCACACTTGCTTGGATAATTTTCTTTTGGAGCACCTCCTCGATTTGGACTTAACTTTTTTCCCTTGCCAAGGTTCATATTAGTGGAGCTGGCTAGCTGTTTTAAGAATTAAATGTCAAGGAATTTGGGGAGCTCTTATTTGAGCCAGTAAAATCAATTATTTCCACAATGGAGACCAAGTGCCTGAGTTGAAGCCTGCCTGGCTTGCTCCACCTGTGATGGAGTCTAAAACCTTTAGAAAGCTATTCTGGGCTTGGGGTGGGGGAGGTGACTCACTTCGGAGCCTTACTCCCCTCCCCCACCTGTTTATTCAGGTGAAATCAGGTTAGAAGAAATATAAAAGACCTCTTTGGAAGCAAAGAGGCATCAAAGAGTACTCTGAGAGGGTCAGCTTAGACGTGGTGACAGAGTTGGTGAGGGTGGAGGTGCCGTGACAGGGCTTTTTTTTTTTTGCCATAGTCAGGACTGAACCTGGAGTTCTCTATTCAAGCTGGGCAGGAACTCTACCACTGAGCGACAGCTCCAGCCCTTTCCTATTTTATTTTTTAAATTTTAAGACAGGGTCTTGCTAAGTTGCCCAGGCTAGCCTCGAATTTACAATCCTCCTCCCTCTGCCTCCTGAGTAGCTGGGATTACAGGTGTGTACCTCCATACACGGTGTGCACCTTCTTAATTAGAGCTGATAAGGACGTACTGAGCATGCTGGCTCCAGCTGCAACCCTCATGTCCGTCCACAGGCCTTCCCCTGTGTTCCCACAGAGGGAGAAGCCCCGGTGAGCATTTGCGCTATATCTACTATGCTCCCTTCTTGATAAATGCAAAACTCTCAAGTCTGCCTTTGATGTTATCTGAAATGTCAAAATGAATGAAAGACGGTGAGTAAGCAGTAGAGCGCTGTGCCCCATGCCTGGTTGAGAATCTCTGCTCCAGAACGAGCTTCTCAAGGGCCTCTACCACCTCTAAACTCTTTAAATTCCTGGTAAATGGAAGCCTGACCTCACTATCCAGGAACTGGACTTCCTGTGAGCTTCTTACCTTCTCTGTCCCCTTCCTCTGGAATGGTCATTAGGGTACCTGGCACTTACGCATGGTTTGCAGGTTCTGTGAGACACTTAGCATAATTGTTGGTCAAATAAAAAACAAAACAAACAAACAAACCAAAAATAAAACCCCCAGAGCCGTAAAAACTTGAATCTGAATAATGGCATTGGGAGATAAGCCAACCCCTTTCACCTCCATTTTATAATCCCCTGGCCTTCAGTGTGCCAGGCCTGGCCAAGTGTCTGCAGGTGAGCAGCACATTTGGAGTGACCTTCTCTCCTGCCTGGGACACTTCTAGTGACTTTTTGGATCCAGTTCCTGCCGTGTTAGCTAAGAGAGCAAATGTATTAAGCAGCCTCCGTGTGTTCTGTGGAATACTCTTGCCAGCTGGGCTCTGAGGTTCATTTCAGAGATGGGACAAAGTCTTGTATTCCTTCCCAAAACCGTTTGTCTCAGAGAAAGTATCTGGAAGCCCTGTGAATGACCATCCCTGAAAAATCTCACTTGGGGTTTATGGTTTTTATTACTGTGACCAAAAACCACTAGGTAGAGAGGGACAGATGAACAGAATAAATAAGCAGATTTACTTTCTTTTCCCTGAGTTCTGAGTCGCTGAACTCCTTAGCCTCAGTTTGCTCACTCATAAAGTGATAGGAATATCTGTCTTGTATGATCTGTGGGTCAAAATAAAATGAGATACTGAGTGGGAAAATCTTCTGTAAACTTTAAGGCAGTTCTTTCTCACTCTGTCTTCCCACCTACCCGCATCTCTTAACGCTTTCCTCAAACGAGAAGGAGGACGTGGACTCTTCACAAAGCATTTTTCAATGGAGCTGCAAAGCTGCCCAAGGAAGGGGCAGATCAGATGGTCCCACAGACTACGAAGAAGGAACAAGGAGTGTATCCAGGCTGCAGAATTTACTGGGTTTTAACACTTGTTAGGTAAATCTCTGCCTGCTGGATTCCAAGCCAAATTCACTTCAGAAGACCTAGCATCTTTTCTTCCCACTTGCCGGCAATGAAGTTTTGGTCGGGTCACGGAAAGTATCCGAGCCTTACTTAGAAAATGATAATACTTGTAGCTCTGGGTCATCACAGCAAGTGAGAACGGTCATGATAGGCAGTTTCAGCACGTCGTGACTTTTCCCATCCCTTTTTATTTTTCTCTCTCTGTTTACCATTCTAACCCTCTGTTCACCATTCTAACCCTCTGTTCCTCAGCTTGCTTTTCCCTAAAATGGAAGTAATAATCCCTGGCCTTCTCAGTTCACAGGGTCATCGTATGACCTGAGATAAAGGCTGTGGCAGGGCTTTGCAAACATCAGAAAGACTTGGACAGGGTGACCTTGAGCTGGTCAGGCCAGAGCAGAGAGTGCAGCAGCCACACTCAGGGTCACTTGGTAGCGTCTCTTGCCTGCTCTGTGTCCCGTGGTCTCACATCCACCTGTGGTACTTCGCAGTCTCTTTGCGCCTGTCATTCACGTGCCTTGTCCACTGTATCTCTCACAGCATCTCTGGATCACAGCACTGTCCACCCACTATTCTCTGGATGCAGAAGTTGCCTGCCCCAATCCTGCGGGCTGTCAGAAGCCACTGTCATATGACCCCTTCTCCCAGCTTACCCTCATGAATAAATACTAAAAAGACTCATTATGAGGAGATAAGGAAAACAGGAAGTCCTTCTGCAAATGCCCAACAATCCGCAGCATAAATAACCCCACCCCTCCAGAGGCCACTAGTGTCCTTTGCCTTTAGGCCACCGGCTCCCTCTGTGTTGAGGAAGTGCTGTTATTTGTTGGACCCAGAGGGGATTGTCGGCCGGGCCAGCTTGGAGCCAGGAGGGCGGGCCACCGAGGCAGGGGAGCTGAGCTGCTCTATTCTGGGCCCAGTGTCAAGGCCAGCTGCAGGGAGAATAAGCAGTCGCTGTGTGCCTGCAGCTGGCCATGGTTAGGCCAGGGTTGTCCCTCATTTGTGGTGTATTTAAAGAGACCCCGGCAGACAATCACGCCAAAAGAAAAATGAGCAGGGCTCTGTCAGCCATACTCAGTGCACCGCCCGTTAAGGCGCTCCTCCTTCAGCGGCAGCTCCCAGGCAGTGTATTATACAAGTAAATAGAGGTAGGCTGGCTCCTCAGTGTCTCCCAGGTGTAGGTGGCCTTTGCCAGCTGTCACTTGGGGACACAGGTTCTATTCCAGGCCCCGTGCCCTCTGGCCGAGCGGGCCCAAAGGACCGTGAATTAGGCAAGGATCTGTGCTTCCCACCCTCGTGTCAGTAACCCAGCAACCACAGTGGAGAGGCGAGCAGATGAGTCAAATAGAGCACAGAACCTCTGGCTTTGTGTGCTGTTTGTGAAAACTGCCCGCGAGCAAAGTGTGCCGACAGCCCCACTTCCGGAAAGGAGGAGCGGGCTTTCCCACACTGCTGTAGGCCCACCGAGCCTCTCACAGGGGTGCCCAGGCCCCGTGGGGCTGCTCAGGGAGGCTTCGAGAACAAGCTGGAGGCCAGGAGGAGCCCATCCTGGTGGAATGCTCTAGTTGCCTCTCTCACCTGTGTTGCTCTAATGGAAACCAGACTAGGAGGCCTGAATCCCAGAGGAGGGGGCTGGGAGCCAAGAGCCAACAGGCCTAAAGACCCTCAGAGGAGAGACAGAGCTACTGTGCATGGGAGTCAGGGCTGTCCGGTGGCCAGAATCCAAGGGGACACGCCATGGCAGCCAACAAGAGGATTTCGGGAGAGCAGCCCGCAGGAGTGGGGCAGGGGGTTGGGAAAGCGGCAACTTATCAACCAGCAGAGGGTTGCCCACAGCACACTGTCTGGGGCAGGCTGCTACAAGTGCTGGAGCAGTTGGGAAAACACAAGTGCACCAACAGGATCGGCTGCATAATTTGTGGGGCCTGGTTAAAAATGAAAATGCAAGGCTCTCTGTTCAAAAAAAAAAAAATCATTAAGAGTTTCAAGATGGCAACACAGGACCTCCTGAGCGTAGGGCTTTGTGACTGCACAGGTTGTATACCCACAAAGCTGACCCGAGGGAGCTGTGAGTCACCTCCTTGAAGTGGGCAAGCTGGGGGAAGTCTGGTTTCCTGGACTTTTACTAGGCTTTGGGCATTGCCTTACACCAACAGCAGCCCCTCCCTTCCTGCCCTGTTGGTAACTGTCCTTGACTCTTTGAGGCAGCTGGGGTCAGGGAGGCAGCCGTGCTGTGTTGGGAGGACTACTTAGGCTCCGTGGGGCCCAGGATTCCAGGGATATCTACATAGGCCAAGAAATGCAAGCCCAACAATTGGAGCTCTCTGAGTGATGTTGTGGAGGTGTTTGGAGACAGGATGGAGATGCTGCAATGCTCTGGATCACTAACAGGCTCTGTCCTGAGGGTGTGTGTGACATTCCAGGAACAAAAACAAAGCTCAAGTCTTCTCCCCGCATGGGAGCTTACCTCCAGCTCTATGTGGTCGTGGAGCTTCTTGCAGGTGGCTGCAAAGGTCTCTGAGGTACCAAATTCAAAGTACCACAGCTTGTTCTTCATCCTGGACCATGAAGCAGAGAGACGGCTCAGTATTCTGTACTGGAAGCAGTCGTGTAAAATAGCTATGTTATTTGGCACACGAGGCCTAATTCCCTAATCATAGAAAAATGCGCAGGCCTGAAGACCTAATTCCCTAATCTTATGATACAAAAACTTGTTCATAAGATGATCAAGGAAAAGAAATTGATACTAATACTTATTGCTAGGAACTTAGAGGAAATGTGTTCATTTTTTAAGACGTGATGGTAACTCTGGATGAACTGTTAATTGCTTTTTACACTGCCTGGTCAGAAAAGGGCCTGTTTGCTTCTGGAGCTGCATTGAGGAAAGAGTTCCCCGGAGATCCAATCAGAAGTGGCAAATGACAGCATGCTCTGTCACTGTCCTTCCCCTCAACTGAAAGATGTGCTGTTTATCTATGCTTTACCTGGGGGAAGCACAGTAAGAGAACCGACGTAAATCTGTAGACAAGTTGGAAGCAGAGGAAATAGAGATGAATTGTTTGGTGGTAAGAGTCACAAGCCCCCTCCCCCCAAATCAACAGTCCTTCATTTACAGTCAGACCTTGGCATATTTGCTTCAAAGTAGGAGTTCACCATTTTGAGCTTTAATTTTTTTCAACTTTTTTTAGGAGACAAAAAAAAATATCAATCAGTGGGGTTCCCATGTAGCTAGAGGCTTTGCAAAGTCAGATGGCGTGCCTGACACTTGGTGGTTTTCATCAGATGGTCTCAACAGGAAGTGTTTCCGCAGGTATTCCACTCCTCCACCCCACTGTCACCCCATTATCAGGGGCTGGCTGAGAAAAGGGACACCTGTCCAGTTTACAGCCTGACAGATTTTGCTAAGGGAGGATTAAACGAAATCACATTTTTCTTGGCACTCTGGAGAGAGGAAGCCACCTTGAATATTGCTAATCCTCTGTCCTCACATTTGTGGTCCAAGGGGGAAAGGAACATTCTTCAGAGGGGGGAAGCTTATTCCTTCCTGATTTTCCTTAGGCTGTAGCAGATGACTCATCAGAATGACTGACATTTTCTCTGCATTGCTCCCACAGTTTACCTAGAATTTAAAGGTGCGACGGTGATTTTTTTGTTTTTAACATATGAAGATTTCTAAGATGAGTTGGTTGGGAAGCAGCCTTTCTCACTCTTAGTGTATATGAAAATGAATAACAAATGATGAAGGAGGCCAGAGTAAGTGTAGTGAAAACAGAATAGGAGGGGGTACTTTCAGTACACTGCTTCTCATTCAATGTGCCGCAGTACAGGCACACCTGATGTGTTGTTGTCGTGAGCCTTCAGGGTGGTGAGTGGGATTTAGGCAGGCTGAGCTCCAAGGCCACAGCCAATATTCTCATTTGTATGCCCAGTACATGGAATAAAGTTTTTCATTTTCTAAGGGTACCTTGAGGTTAAAAAAAATTGGGAAATGTTGTTCCAGATTATTGGTTCTCTGTGCAGAAATGTACATTTATAAATCACTTGAGGGTCCTGTTAAAATGCAATTCTGATTAGTGATTCAGGGGTGGATCCCCACAATGCCTCACTATCTAACAAGCTTTTGGTGCTGCTGATTAGGAGGATCTGGAGACTCTGTAATTCTGAACATTAGTATTTGTTAGAATTTCCTGAGAATGTGATTAAAATGCTGCTTTCAGGGCTCTTATGTGATAGTTGTAGGGTGGGAATGAGTATTTTTATGAGTGTTCAGATGTTCATTATGCGTACGGTCAGCGGACAGAACTTTGAGAAACACTGCTGTGGATCCAGTGCAATGTAATCCATAGACAAAGACAGAAACCTGACAGAGACAGTTCCTCCGGGGATAGAATGAGAGTCGGTGTCTTTCAACAGTTACTGATGGCGTGAGACCAAGGAATGGGAAAAACACAGGTCTCCGTAAACACCAAGGTCAAGCATTCCTTTCTGGCAGCAAGAGCGTTTCTGTAGCCAGGAGACCTGCATTATGATTTTGTTTTAAACTATCACCGCTAGCCTGAATCATGACTTGAAAGTTATTGCCAATAGATTTAGAGTTTTAATAAAAAACTGCCAGAAGCCACAGCTATTTTTGCCCACAAGTGACTCTTCTGATTATCTAAGAAGGTTAAGAGGTCATGGTTAGGTCAGTATCATAGAACCTATGGGAGGACCGAGTAGCCTCTTCCTCCATTGCTGCTGTGTAGCCTTTGGCTGGTTTAATTGCTTTTAAATTTCAGACTCTTCATCTGTAAAATGGAGATTAAAAAAAAGATCTGCTTAAAGGATAGTTGAGAAAATGAAATGAAATGGTAGCAAAGCCCTTCACATAATTCCTAGTGCTCACAGAATGTTAACTACTCACTAATTGCTGTTATTATTTCAGTGTCTGGGGTTGGCATATTTGGGTAACATAGTAAAGGAAAAAAAATGACAGATCTCATGGTATAGCCATATACATTATACATTCGTATTTTTCTGGGTAAGAAAATATGTAATCAAATTTGTTAGATCATGTATCCTGACTTTGGGCTAAAAAATATGTTCCCCATGTGTCTAACTTAATTGATTTTTCCAGAATCATGGACTACACCCTAATATTAGTTAATTATCTTGATGGTCACCCAATTGGCTGAAGATGTAGTGTGACTGTGAATATGCTTCTAAGAAAGTGAGACAAAATATTTATTAATGCAATGAACATTTACTGTGCCAGGGATGATAGGGGGTATGATAAGTTCAACAAAGGTCAAAACACAGCTTTCAATGAGCCAGGCACCTGGGAAGGACAAAGACACAGGTCGTCTTGTGGGAGGCCAGCACTAAGCACCGGGTGCAGAGGAGGAGAGACAGAGTTCTTAGTGGGGTCAGGGGCAGTTAGAACAAGCATCCGAGGGGAAAGATGCTAGAGTTGAGATCAAAAGGGTGTGTAAGAGAAACAGAGAAGGCAGAGGGAGAGCATTCTAGGAAGAGGAAGAAGCCCAGGTGTCCTAGTCTGTTTTCTGTTGCTATAATACAATATCCAAGGCTGGGTAACTTGTAAAGAAAAGAGATTTGTTTAGCTCACAGTTCTGGAGGTCCACGAACAGACCGCTGGCCATTTTTGGCAAGGACCTCACACAATACCTTATTATGGTGGCAAAGCAAAAAGGGAAAGTACATGTGTGGGGAAGGGTCATGTATTTGAGGGAAAGCAAGAACAAATCAAGAAAGCTGAACTTGCCTTATAACAACCTGCTCTCACAGAAGCTAACTCACTCTGGCGAGCTACACCAATGCCTTACTGAGGGTGGGTTTCTTATGCTATTCAAGGCCCACCACATTTCAACATCATTACACTGGGGACTACGCCTCAACATGAGTATCAGTAGTGACAAAACGCATCTAAGTCACAACACCAAGCCATGGGACAGGGACAGAGAGCACAGTGTCACTAGAGGGGACACAGAACTCACGGTGTGGCTTGCTGAGGTATGGCTGGAGAGGCAGACTGGAGCAAGATTTTAAAGGCTGGGGGGTGCTAAGCTTAGGTGTTTGGGGTTGATCTTAGAGAGAGGCACAGACATGCTTAAGTGGGAAGGAGGGTAGTGGCGGTGGTGGTAATGAGCTGATCAGATTTGTGGCTTTTTTTTTTTTTTTTGGTTTTTCTCCAGTACCAGGAACCGAACTCACGACCTTGCACTTGCCAGGCAGGCGCTTTGCCGCTGAGCTAAATCCCCAGCCCCCAGATTTGTGTTTTTTAAAGTTTATTCTGTCCTAGGTGCGGAGAGTGGATTGGAATGAGAGTGACCGACTGGAGGCCTGGAGAATAGTTTGGACATGGTAAAGCAATCCAGGAGAAAACCTAAGCAGTGATGGCAGTATTGAGGACGATTCAACAGCTAAAATTTAGGAGGTTGATGAATTGTGAGGAGTTAGAAAGAGTAGTGAAAGCGACACCCAAAGTTTTGTCTTGCGTGACAGATAGTGAGTACCATTTCCTCACAGAGAGGCAGAGAAGAGCAAGTCTCCAGGGGTAGTCCTCTTTGTAACTAAAGGATAGCACTTTTGGTTTTGACCATCTGCCTGTCCATCCATCCGTCTATCCATCCATCCATCCATCCATCCTTTCACCCATCCACCTATCCGCTGAACATTTATTGACAGCTATGTGCTGTGGGCATTTATTGGGCCAGGTGTGGTGAAGAGCCCAGAGATTAGTGATGTGAGGACAGGAAGACCTCTGCCTTCTCAGGACTTCCCCAAGATGCTGACCTTTGGTCCCTGACTCCCAGGAGACTATGTGTCATTTTTTTCACTAACATTTTTCATTAAAATTGCTTTTCATTTTCAGAAGAAGAGCATCCACCCTGGGAGGGAGACACTATTGCTACAGATAAAGGAATTCACAGATGGGAGTGGGTTCTCCCCTCCCACCTCTTCTTCTTCCTTTACCGCTGTAGGCCCAGCATGAGCACCATCACCTTTCTAAGCCTTCAGTAAAACCTTAAGATACATGGGCCAGGGATGTAGCTCAGTGGCATAAGTGCCTGCCTAGTAAGTGCAAGGTCCTGAATTTGATTCCAGGTACCAAAAAAGATATGTGATACCCTATAGTTTGAGACTAAAGACACTCCCTGCCCCTCCCCTTGTCTCCTTGCCAACCACAGAGCCTGAATGCTGATGTTCCTTTTCTTGTAAAGGTGTCTACCTGGCCAACTTTACTCACAGCCCTGGCTGGAGAACTCTTCTGCTGCACTGGCCTTTGGTCTGTTTCACTATCTTTTTTTTTTTTTTTTGGTACTGGGAATCGAACTCAGGATCTTGCACTTACCAGTTCAGGACTGACTTTGCCGTTTCCTGACTGGCAAGGTTTTTTGGTCAGTACTGGAGACTGAACCCAGGGCCTTTGTGGTTGAGCTACCTCCCCAGTCCTTTTTTATTTTAATTTTTTAGTTTTTGAGACAGAAGTTGTTATTAGACTGGGCCTGAACTTGTGATCCTCCTGCCTCAGCCTCCTAGAGTAGTGGGACAGGGAAGT